GAGAGAGAGAGAGAGAGAGAGAGAGAGAGAGAGAGAGAGAGAGAGAGAGAGTACATTTTTTCTACGAGCCCAAGTTTCATAGGAAGAAGCTGAAATTAAAGTAAAAAAAAAAAATGAAAATCACACCAACAAGTCTCTTGCACCTGGTATTGTGTTTGGATAAATTCAACTTGCAATTTCACTCTCCGGGACGCGACTGCGAATGCAAGCGGCGACTTGAGAGGAGCCTTCTTCCCGCACGCCAATCGTCGTTTCCCAAGGTCTGCGCGAATGCCGAAGACCGGGACTAATTACGAGCCCCATTCACGTTCGTGAGTGAGTTCTCGATCGCGCGGGGCGAAACCGAACGTGACCTCAAAGCCGTCGCGTGCCAACAGGTATAACACCCGTGGGCCGCGTTTCCGTACATTCGAGCGATCTCTCGCGCGGCTTCTTCGTATCCGCGATTGCTGTCGTAACGATCGAAACTTTAGAAGCAGCTGGGCACGTGCTCGTTCGCTCGCGAGTCCGCCGGAAATACGTACGCTTGACTTGGGTTGCATGTCGCCGATCGCCGCATTCACGTCGACGTATTAATTCGCGCCTCGCGACGTATCCGCTTCGGCGATACCGAGCGCCAAACGCGATACGTATTACGTGCGCGATATTACGTGTCAGAGTAAAACGGTATATCCTTGATGCAGGCACGCCGCAGAAGAAAACGAACGATGGAGCGCGGATCGTTTGCATTCTCATTCGTGCAGCGAGAGATGGGATAGTTTAAGACTTATAATGGAAAGAAAGCGACAGGATGCATAAGGATGCATCCTGTTGCATTCCGTTACACTACGACCACTCGCGCTGAGACCCGGCTCAACCGAAGCCACAAAATCCAAAGAATAAGAAAAGAAACTCGGCAACCAGTAAGACTTTAAGATAATGAAACTTTCCTCGCACAAATAAGAGTGTAAAATTGAATTTCCGCTCCTGAGTTGCATCCGCCCTGATTCGCCAAATATATTTTGAAGAGAAGAACACTCAGATAATTTAATGATAAATAATGAAAATTTTACAAACAATTAAATTTAATAATAATAATAGTAATTTTGAATGATCACAGCTATTACCTCCACACGGAGAATAAATATCGGAGCGAATGAGAATTTACGAGGAATCATGGCGCCGCGACATCGAGCGCCGCTCGGGCTTCCATAATCGATACAAAACTTCGTCAACTTACTCCTGAGAGGTACATGGCCGTTCCTTAAGGGCGAGGACACCATCCTCTCGTTTCTCCTCTCGTTCCTTTCCTCCTCTCGCTTCTCTCTACCCTCGAGCTGGGCGATCCGCCTTAGCGCGTCCGCCAGAGTGGCGCGAAGACAAACTATTTCATCCCTCTGCGCCAGCGATTGTCTCTCGAGGTCCGCCACTCTGCCCAAAAGGGACCCGGTCTCGCACTCCAGCATCTCATCTGTAAAAAGGGGATTTTTGTTTACGATCATGAGGATAACGCGACCGCGAGAGCTCCGACTTTGAGAGCTTCTATTCGGGAGGACGGTCCGTCTTTCGGCTCAAAAATCTTCTTTAACCCTGGAATGGATACACGCGCTGAGAAACAAATACTTGAAAATCTGTGAGATATAAGGTTCACTTCTGTGAATAGACTGTATTTCACAAATTCCAAGTATTTCTTTTTTCAGATTTTCATACATCACAAACAGATTGTCTTGACTGACTTATGTCACGAAAATCAAATCGACTTACTTAAACAACTGGTTATTTTGTAACTGTAACTGTATTAGTAGTCAAATTGTAGCCGAGAAATTCCTTTTTGTAGTAAGCGTTACTATAATGTTATTCATGATCTTATATGTATAGTAGATAAAACTACCCGGTGTTGGCCGGATTATGATAAAGTATCAAGGGAATGAAGTCAGGGGGAGGGGCTGAAATGTTCAGGTTTCATGATAGCCTATATTTTCCGCAGGGTTCTAGAGAAAGAACAATGGTAAAAAAAGGCCGTTTTTGCCTACCGAAACAAAACGTTATCATTCCTTACTAATTTTGGTGCTATTTTGAGGTTAAAGTTATATTTCTCCAGATAATTCTCTATATTGTTACAAATATTGCCGAACCTGTCGATATTGTGGAGGAAAATTGCTATTTGCAATACACAAATCACAAACAATAAGTGTAGGATATTTTCAGTATTATTTAAATAACTGACTCTCGATATCTAAAATGGCGGATTCAATATGGCACAGTTTTGAATTTAAGATTATTCTATTTTGAAGTTATTTTATATTTTGATAATATTTATTATTTATTATTTATAATAAATTTATTTGATAATATTTATTATTTTTTATTAGGCTTTTAGATTAGCAGTTTTTTAGATTTTAGGTGAGCACTTTTTAAATTTCCATATTTTGCAACTTTATAAGATGACATAATTAAAATCATTCAATTTTGTTCCAAGAAGTCGCCATATTGGATGTCCTATTTAAAAAAATATTCATAAATTCATCTTCAACTTAGTTAGCTTTGAATACCTAATAAAACGTAAGACAGATGAAGTATTATTTGCTTTCTTCTCCTAGCAAAACTGATGACTTTTCGCTCAAATAAACGCTCAAGTAAATAGAAGATGTTCCCAATTTTTCCGGATAATTCTAATAGCATCACTGTATTTAGCAAGTCAAAATTGATAAGGAATGATAACGTTTTCACGTTTGTCTTGGAAGACAAAAAACGACCTTTTTGATCATTGTTCTTTGGTCCATCTTAAAGGATTTAGAAAAGTAGAGGAAATTCACAGACAGACAGACATTCTAATTTATACGTATAAATTGCAATGACCTTTCTGTCAGAGCAATAAAGAAGCATAGCTGACGTTGAAATTATAAATAATCTATGGTGAGACTGAGCATTCCTTTTTCTCTCAGTGATCTCACAGGCAATCTCACATAAAAATATTAGCGCGCCCATAGCTGCTGACACAGCAGAGCAGCAGTCAGAAGTTTAAGAGATTTCATGGGATCGAGTAAGATCTCAGTATCCATTCCAAGGTTCAATCCTTCCTGATACCCAGGTCTCTCGAGGCTCATCGCTGTTGTCACACGACCAAATGTCAAACATGGATGACTCGGGAATTCAGTTAGCAGGCGTTCATTGTACGCGCTCGGTTATCGACTGGTATCGCAAAAAAGAAATATTAGTCTCTCTCTCTCTCTCTTCGTACAGAAAGATAGAGCAAATGGGTCACGGTTTCCTAGGCTGGCTCGAGATAAAGAAAAAAAATTGGATTCCTCAACCGCCGTCGACCGATAGCGGCGCGCCACCACGTGGCACCGTGCTCATGAATCTTGCATGCGTGTGTCGGGCGTTTAATTTTGCATGACTATCGGCCGAATCTTCCATACTTCATACCCGCAAACAGCGCGAGAGTAACAAGAAAATCATGCCCTCGCACGATTTACCGCCCCGCGCCGTCCGGCGATTTACAATTCATGGAATATATTAAACGAGACCTGGCAGCGCGGTAAGTCGAGTTTCGATAAATCGTCACTCGCCTCACGTGCCCGCGACATTATATCCAAACGTCACCACAAAGGTCGAATTGTTATTTCGCAACGGTAATCCGCGGCTCTACAACGCCGCCGCCGAGAAGTACGCGCGTTATCTTTCCAGATTCGCTAGCGCTTTCCATATGATTGATATCATGTCATCGACAATGTAATTTTTCATGTTAATCAAGTCATAGACGAATAGAGGATAATTCGCGCCGAAGAATTCTCTGCGAAAAGGTCACACGCGGCTCTTTCCGCGACCCGGAAAATTGGCGTCTAAAAAAAACATAGAAAGAAAGAGAGAGAGGGGTGGGAGAGAAACGACGAATTATTTTTATACTCACGCCATGCTTGCTCCGCTTCGTCAATAGTATCCATCGTGTCCGGCGTGGACATTGCGATTAACCCCTCGCGATGACCCCGATATATTAATACGTTATTCAATTGAACTGATTAACGAGCGCAAACAGAGCCAATGCGCCGTTCACCGACATACATGTCTTTCGTGGCCCGATCTCAACTCCACTCGGCTTTCCTCGAAACGATAACTAATAACCCGCTGAGTTTCCTAGCTTTTTCTAGCTTCCTGCTGGCTCTACGACGTGGTTCGCTCGCCTACGGCCGACGCGACTATTCTTAGTTGCATCGTCCGCCGGCAAACAGAAGTCGATAAGATTTAAGAACGAAGCTGCGGGCGTGCGACGCGCAATTTCACGCGAAGAATAATCCCGCGGCTGTGCGCCTCTCGAGTGCGCGCGCTAATTGTCGAAAATTTACGGTCACGGTGATTCGGTGACGTTAAAGACGCGCCGAGCAACCGGAATGTCCTGCCCTCGTGGAAACATTTTCCACGAGTACTCGGCGATTATAAGTGCGCGACGCCACTATCTCGACACCACGAGCCGACCACCATGTCACTGCCAGCCGGCAATTTGAGCGTCAATTAGCGCCGTGCAATTAGCGCGCGGGAGCACCCATCCGCCGCGCCGCGCTTTGCCCCGCTACATCGGTCGAATTAGTAGTGCGAGCCTTTCGTCAAAGTGACGACACGTAAAAGAGAGAAAAAGAGAGAGAGAGAGAGAGAGAGAGAGAGAGAGAGAGAGAGAGAGAGAGAGAAAGAGACAGAGACGATTGGAACGTGCGCGAACGAGGAGCGGGCATCTCGCGAAACGCAACTTTCTACCGCCGACGCCGTCGAAACTGAAGCGCGATCGCGGAATGGCGAGAATTCGAGCACGCCGAGCGTGTGTCACGTGGACCTGCTCATATGCTGACGTGCCACAGCATGACGTTCCTCCAAATCGAACTTAAAACCGCACCGGCTGTGCCGCCAAGCCGTGACTTTACGTAACTGAATGCATTTTCCTAGCGGAATGAAAATTCACGACATCGTCTTATTCAAATGTATGCGGTGCCTCTGATAGTCGTTTGTGTGCATTTTCGAATATGCAAAGGTGTTCACGTGATCGTAGGAACGCGATCGCATTTCCTTTCACACAAGGAATTCCTTAGGCGAGATCTGAAATTTGGTATTTAGTTGAAACCCCTTTCAGCGCGAATTTGATCGAGCTGTACTCTGAGAACAAGATGGCAACAGCAGCTATATAGATGATAATTTTACGAGCTTTGCAAGTAGAATTGCAGAAAAAATATTTGGAAATTTATTTGTAGGATAAAAGTGTATCTTTCTGCGAAATAAACTTTTGTCCTACACGAATAAATTTTTAAATATTTTTCTTTCAGTCTAATATATATACAGGGTGTGAAAAGTTAAAAGTGTCATGGGCTACTATGTTGACAGTTAAAACATTAAAGTGTCTTTCACTGAGAAAAAATGTTTGGTATTTGTAACTATAATCATATAAAGAAATAGCATAAATTATGGTCAAGACAACCATTTTTTAGTCAGTTGGGGTTAAATTGGGTCTAAACTATATTTTTTATTTTTTCAAAACGAAGATAGTAATAGTAACATGCATAGTAAGATTATTATCACTAAAATTATAATACAATTGTTTAAAAAATTATTGTCTGGACTATAATTAATTTATAATAATTATTTCTCTATATGATTATAATTACAAATACTAAACATTTTTCTCTCACTGTTGAATTTATCTTGGTGACTGCACTTAGAAAAGAACTACCTTCATCAGATGATGTTACTTCAATAACAAACGGTTGGTAAAAAAGCAAAACTTTCATTTCGTTTAGTTTTAGAAATAATAGCTACATCTTTGACTTTACATTATGTGTGTATATATATATATATATATATATATATATATATATATATATATATACACATAGTTTAATAAACTCTATTTTGTAGTTATTGTAACTAAAGTTTCAACTGCTATAGCTACATGCTTATTAAACTATATGCATTAATTCTACATATTCAAAACTCATATAGTTGTTACTTATACAGTCGCCATCGTTTTTCTTCCGAGTGTGTGTGTATTTTTTTATACTTTCTTCATTCTCTACGTATTTTAGCAATTGTACAATAAACTCTGAAATATAAGAGACTCGACTTCACAAGTAATGAGCCATTGAAACAGAAACAGCGAGACAGGATGCGTCGCGATGCGACGACAACAATAACGATGACGACGACGACAACGACGATACGAAAGCTCGCACCGGTAAAATCGCACTTAGCAATGCAAAGCGCGAGACGCGCGATAGTCGCGAGAATATCGTGGATGTTATGTAAACGCGCGTATTCCTCCGCCGTGCTCGAGGAGGAAAGGAGCATGGAACTTTTGCCCCTCTTCCTCCGCGTCGGTGCTTTCCCCACTGGAAGATGCGATAACCGCTCGACGAGATGAACGATAATCGACCGTAGGCTCTTTACCCTCGCACTTACACCACTGCCTCTTTGTGTCTCATGTTCTCAACGCCTTCCAGAAGAAAAAAAAGATAATCCCCCTCGCAATCGATCACGTACTAAAACGGAAGGATATATTCTCTCCGCGGCAAAATGCACGTTAATAGTTTCGCGTAATGCGCTCGCTCGAGCATTCAGCGACTCGTTTTACGGCGATATTCAGCGTGCAATTATTCGACGTGCGTAAATTAATCGTTCGCATCGTATTCTCCCGATATTTGCAACCTTCTGCAAAATTGCAATTAGGGACGCGATAATTATCTCATTAATTTCTAATTTTTAACTTAATACTTTGTCTTTAGTGAGAGATATATATTGAGTATACGAGCTATTCTGGTGCTAAATCATATTTTTGTTAATTAGTCGACGGAATTGTTTCTCTAAAAAAAAAAAAAAAAATCCTATACGGTATACGAACATGTAAATTGTTAATTTTTTTTAGATTCCGCGATCAAGATATGGAATTTTATTGCACGCGGATTTTATATGCAAACGTGATGCAAAAGTTTGCTTAATTGGTTCACCGAAAGTGAATGTATCACGAGACGTCGCTCGGTTTTTTTCCTTTTTTCGTGGATCGAGACAGCTGCGTGCGCTGATAAAATTATCCGCGTCTGCAATATATTGTTCCGCTTGCCGATAACTTCTCGCATGCTGACCGAAGCACAATTTACACGAAAATGTCACGACGCTTTGTTGGGAAATTTATGAAAATCGCGAAGCCCAAATGACCTCTGCTTTCATCCGCGTGCCAAATATATATCCGTCACTTTTTAACGCGGTAATTTAGTAATCTACATGACTAGAAGTAAATTATAGATATTCCAACGGTATCATTTAACGTTAAAATCTAAGAATAATTCGTGCACGACTCCATCGGAGAATCTAATATGAATCTCAAGCCTTGTTCAACCCAACTGACGAATGTGACTCTTGAAACGAATCGGCAAGGACTGGCTGAAGCGTGCAATGAAGCAGTAATGTCAAAACGTGTGTAAGATTTATGAGACATTTCCGATCGAATCGTCGATGATAACCTGTCCGTCGACGTAAGGAGGATCCGCCGTGGAGCTGCCCGAAGCATTCCGGGCGTTCGAGCGCAGCCAGAACGAAAATTAATTTTCCGTGCAGCAGTTGAGCGAAATGAGGTTCAGCTCAACAATCGACGTATCGACATCCTGGCCGTGGGAAGAGCCGTTCGTCGACACCGCGACCACTTCCGCGGTTGAGCGACACAACAATCCAAGGAATCAACCCCGTCGTCAGCCGCGCGCTTTCACTTGTCGCGGAAAAGAGAGCGCGAAAGAGGGATAAAGGGAGAGCGTGGTTTCGGCCCGAGCGAGATTTTCAAAACCTATCGACCACGAGTCGCGTCGAGCGAGTCCTCGCTCGTGTTCGACGGCGGGAATTTCCGCGACGCGTCCGCTACGCACGTACGTCGAACGGAAGCGGCGTCGGGGCGCTTCCGCCACGCGAACACAAGCCGGAAGTCGTCCGCGGATTTGCCCGACTAACGCGATCGGCTTTCGAAAATTCCCCTCGGCGAGAGCGTCGCCGCCGAGGCGGACTCCATCGCGATCGCTGCTGCTCGTGTAACACGTGTGTTTTCCGTGCGACCGCCCCAACGTTACTGTCAGAGCGGCTACCAGCTGCTTTGGTCGCGATCAATACGGTCTAGATAGTCGAGATGATCCAGATGACGGCGGGCTACGCCGCCGTGCCATTGACTGCGGGTAAGACGTGTGCATACGCGGCGTGCGATCGAGATTCCCCCGCCGATACAAGCGGTTCGATCGCACGACGGGAATTAATTGTCGTTTTAATTAGGAGACGGCGGTAATTTGTTTATTGAGAGGACAAGCGTCCGATTACACCGTGAGACGCTTCAGGAATTTCTCATAAATTTTCGCGATCAAACGATAATTGACAGCCGATTGACAGAAGAACGTATCCGAAGTGTCTCATTATTTTGGAATAGCAGGATCCTCCGGTTGATTTGGAGACAATTTTTTCTCAACGAAAATACCAAGACAGGAAATTTATTTTTGAGCGGTCGTCCGATTTCTAATTTCGTCTATCTTTTAATTAAGTCTCACGTTTTTAGTAAGATTTTATCGTGGCAAACTTAATTGAGATTACCTGAAGAACGTGGTTCTGCACACACACGGAAATATACATACTGCATTCGAGTAAATGTTATTTGTCTTAATATATTTAGTAAGTTATTTAGTATGTTATTTGTCTTAATAAATTTAGTAAGTTTATATATCCGCAAATCTACCATAAATTCATCATAAGCAGCAAATTTATTTAGAAAACATTCTGAATCCTAGTTTAACATTTCAATCAAGACAATTGAAAAAATCGGTTTATTTACTATACAGAATCGAATTAACATTTGACAAAGTTTCATAATGTCAAAAGAATAAATGCTCTTTTTAGGTACATAATAATTTTAGGTAGTATAATGATAATGTTTTTAAAATTTATAATAAGTGCATTTTGAGACTATTGTCAAGAAAATATTCTTTATTGAAGATAATCATTTCAAGAAAAAAACATAAACTGAGTGATCATTTTTTTAGCAGTAGAATGATTTTCTGTGGGAATTCTATACGGAGAAAATATCGTAAATATAGTAATCGAAAATATCGAAAATATAATAAAACTTACGTTAAATTTATATTTTTTTACAATATCTTAAAAAGTTAAATAATGTTGAAATTGTAGTAGAAATTATTATGAAAATAATAGATTTTACCTGTATCCTAGTATACGATACAAAAACATTCAAGTGATTATAATAATTTTGCGACATAAACTCAAAAGTATAACATTTTTAAATAAATATTTAATAATTTCGGTCATTCAATTCGGTCCAAGGTTGCAAACATTTTATTGCAATTTTTACTACAACATTTTCTCTGTTATAGCTCGCAGGAAATCCTACTTTTCCAATTGTTGATAATTTGAGAATTATCATAATGTCTCAACACTTGTACTGAAGGAAATTCTACTCGGAATTGGATCCTCCATTAAAAAGTAGCGCAGTAGAAAGAGAAAACTCTGCCTTATTGTCTTCAGGAAAGTATCTTCCCGCAATGAAAATGTGTTCTCGAAATGAAGCCGCCATCACCGGCTCCACTAACATCGTTTACGCCGCAAAAATGCAGCACGTCACGTAGATTGTATATTTTCACGCTAGCGTAAGCCGCGTGTGACCTCGCGAATGAATCATCCATTTGTCTCGATCAACCTTTCGCGATCGCCCTGAATAAACGACGTCGGTTGATATCGGTGTATATATCGGCGCACCCTCTCGATTCTTCGAAAATCTTGCTATATCATGCGAACTAGTTCGCTAAAAACGTCGACGTTATATCATTCCCGGGCGCGATAGCTTTCCGCCGACAAATCGACGCGATATACATATACAAGGTGTCCGGCGACTCACGAAGAAGCCATAATAAAATTCATAGGTATATTAGGTCAAAATGAACAAACAATTTCTTTACCATTTTGCGAACAACCACGTAAAATTTTGAATTATTAATCAATGAAGATTCGTGAATAATCACGCGCCATACGGTATATGAGCTATGATGGCGATGTCTGCTTGTTTATTAGATCAAACTGGACAAAACAGTCCTCTCTACCATTTTCCAAATAACCACGTAAATGTTATTAATCAAAGAAGATTGGTACATTATTGCGCACAACCCTACACTATCTTTTTTGATTAATATATAAACATTTACGTGGTCATTTGGAAAGTGGTAGACGACCATTTTGTTCAATTTAACGTAATATATAAACATACAGATGTCAGATATACAAGAGCCAGATGTCGACATCACATCTTTGACTAATAACTTAAAATTTTACGTGATTGTTCGGAAAAGAATGGTAAAGGAATTTTTGTCCAGTTGGATTCGGTTGACCTCATCTACATGTACGCGGCTCCTCTGTGAATTATCAGACACCCCGTATATATTTCTGGGCGTCAGGCTTTTGTTGCGAAATTGCGCCCGCGTTTGAATCGATCATGCGAGAAGCGGAAAGAAGAGGCGCGAATTAAATTCCATACAGTGCGGTGCGCGTTGCGATGTTACGTCGTTACGTAATCCTTCGGCGGCGATTCCAATAGATAGTGCTCGAAGCTACACCGTTGTAACACGAGACGCGAGCCGCGAGCTGTCGATGCAAATCTATCCGCGCTTCTAGAATTACCCCGAAACTTTCGGAATAATAAATCACTCGGAAGACAATGTGCTGCTAATTGCATCGTACGTTGCGCGCGCGCACAGGCATACTAATCGCATCTTTCGCCGGGCTGTATCGGCTCGCTCGGGAACTTTCAAGTTGCATAACGG